GGTCAGGGGTCAGCTCAGGTGAGGTCAGTGGGGGGTTAAAGGACAGGGTCAATATTGGGCTGAATTCCAGGAGGACGATCCCAGACTCCATTTGGGGGGGAGGGGTCAGTCCCAGCCGGGTCAGTGGTCAGCACTCGTGGTCAGCAGGGGTCAGAGGTCAGGGGTCAGGGCCCCCCAGGCCGTACTCGCAGAGGATGACGCCGTCCTTGAGCCCGTCCATGAAGTTGTCCCCGATCCTTCGGCCCGTGGTGCCCTCGATCCACGCCCGGAGCTCCCGCTCGCACTGGGGGTCGTATTTCTGAGCCAGCTGGGGGGACAGGGGACAGTGTCAGGGGTGGGGGGACATGGAGACACCCTCAGGGGGACATGGGGACAGGGGACATTGTAAGGGGGACAGGGGGGACATGGGGACACGGGGACAGGGGACACAGTCACGGGTGAGGGGGACACAGGGACAGGGGACATTGTCGGGGGACATGGGGACAGGGGGGACACCGTCAGGGGGACATGGGGACACTGTCAGGAATGGGGGGACACAGGGACAGGGACATTGTCAGGGGAGACGGGGATGGGGGGACATGGGGACACTGTCAGGGGTGGGGGGACACGGGGACAGGGGGACAGGGGACATTGTCAGGGGGACATGGGAATAGGGGGGACATGGGGACACTGTCAGGGGGACACGGGGGACATGGGGACACTGTCAGGGATGGGGGGACATGGAGACACCATCGGGGGACACGGGGCACAGTCAGGGGATGTGGGGACACGGGGACACCCTCAGGGGGACACGGGGATGTGGGGACAGCGTCGGGGGACCCGGAGGGAGAGGGGGGACACTGCCCCGGGCACGTGGGGACACCGTCAGGGGGACACAGAGGATGGGGGGGACACCGCCAGGGGGGCGGGGGGACACGGGGACCCCCCCGGGGGGGGACACGGAGGCCGTGGCGGCCGCCCCGAGCACGGACCAGCCCCGGGTCCCCCCCGGTGTCCCCCGGTCCCTTCTTTCTCCCCCATTCCCGTGGCCCGGGAGGGGCGGGGGGAGCCGGGAAGGCCGGGGGTGCCCGGACCCCCCCCC